CGCCATGGAAACGGGCGCGACCTAGTGGGCGTGGCGTTAATGGGCGGGCGCGGGGAGTGCGGGTGGGGGCGGGGCCTGAGCGAGGGGGTTCTCTTTCTGCCTGGGTGAGTGGAACGTCACTTCAAAGGAATCCGCCCTAGCCGGCTGGCGCAGTGGGTAGCGCCTGGGCCTGCGGACTGAAGGGTCCCGGGTTCGAACGTACCTCAGTTGCAGGCTAAATCCCCAGCCCTGGTTCTGATCGGGGTGCCTACGGGATGTTTCTCTCTCTGTCTCTCCCCCTCCCTTCCACTCTTATCCTGGGGTGAGGATTAACAAAAGAAAGGCATCCTTCAGCCTGGCCAGTGTGGCTCAGTGGTTGAGCATCAACCAGGAGGTCACGGTTCGATTCCCGGTCTGGACTGAATCCCTAGTAGGGGCCCTGCAGGAGGCAGCCAATCCCGTGTGGCTCAGGAAGCCGGCCCCCCGCCCCCCCAAAGATCTTAATAGAATGCTGGTCAGCAGTTTTCCACCTGTGTCCTTTCAGGGTTGTGGTCTGCACTGATTGGTTGGCCGGCACCAGGGCAGGGGGGTCATTATTCAGTGCAGCTGGTCCTGCGGTCAGCCTTGGATGGTTTTGTTGCTTATCTGGAACTGAAACACAACAACGATGGAACAATCCGAGTCACGGTAAGAATTCGGGTCCTGGGTCGCGGCATCGTTATGTTGAAGGCAGCGGGAATGGTACTAGGTGTTTGACCCGTGGGGTCAGACCAAACCTGGGTTCATCAACCCCGGTACTTGGGTTCTGGCTAGGAAAGAATTCAGAGCCAAGAACCCAACTGTAAGAGTAAATTGGGTAAATTACAGAGGTAGGAAAAGCCCTTCCTAGAAGAAGTGGGCTTAGGAAACAAGTTATAGTGGTAAAGGAAGGGCCCTTTGAGCTCGGGAGTGAGGAAGCGAATGGTAAAGTGCCTGGGCCTGGGGGTGGGGGTGGGGGTGGAAGAGAAAGGGAATGGAAAGGGGAAGGTGCAGGCGTGGTGGTGGAGGGGGGAGAGTGTGGCAAACTTTAACTTGGGGTCAGTGTGCTGGGTCAGGTTCCCATGCTCCCCACTGGAAGCCGCTGGCACCCACCCCAGCCACCCATTCTGCTCCTGGCTTCTCAGGCACAAGCCACGGGGTGCTGCAGGCTATCCTTTCGTACTGCCTGCTCCCCCCAGATACCACCTCCCAGCCCCTGACCACTGGAACCAGTCCCCTCCTTGACCTTACCATTCTTAGTTCTTCATGACTTCTAGGCCCTGCACCATGAGGTCTTAGAGCAGTGATGGCGAACCTTTTGAGCTCGGTGTGTCAGCATTTTGAAAAACCCTAACTTTGGTGCTATGTCACATATAGAAATTTCTTGATATTTGCAACCATAGTAAAACAAAGATGTATATTTTTGATATTTATTTTATATATTTAAATGCCATTTAACAAAGAAAAATCAACCCCAAAAAATGAGTTCGTGTGTCATAGGTTCGCCATTACTGTCTTAGAGCAATGGGTGGTCCTGCCTACTGTATCCCCAGTACAACTGAGGGTGCACATAGTAGGTGGCTATTTCACAGTTGATGGATGTGTGGGCGAAATAGAGCATTTCATTTTTGCTTTTTTAAAAAAATATATGTTTTTATTGATTTTAGAGAGGAAGGGAGAGAGATAATAAACATCAATGATGAAAGAGAATTGATTGGTTGCCTCCTGCATGCCCCACAGTAGGGATCAAGCCTGCAACGCAGGCACGTGCCCTGACTGGGAATTGAAACGTGACCTCTTGGTTCATAGGTCGACGCTCAACCACTGAGCCACGCCAGCTGGGCTCGTTTGTGCTTTTGAGGGTGTTGGAGAGTGTTTTCAGGTGAAGAAAACAGCGCGAGAGCAATGTGGACAGGAGGGTTGTGCATGGAGAGGGTCAAGGAGAGGATACCCCGTCCTTGTGGGCAGGGACAGACTTCCGTCAGGGGGAGCAGAGAAGGGGGTGTAGTGGGGAAATGGTGCCGTTGACACCTGACACCAGGCCACCATCTCCTGGGGTGTTCCTATCTCTTCTCTTGACTTAATGAGTCTGGTAATAAAACCAGTAACCTGTCAGTGCTGCACTTGGGACATTTCACCCTCAAGCCAGCCTGACGAGATGCTCATGCAGGGCTGCTAGTGCACAGTTCCCGGCTGCACCTGGCCCTCAGCGTCCAGAAGGCAGACGAAGTACAACACATGTTCCAGGATCACCAGGTGTGTGTGTGTGTTGTATTAAAGGGGACTCTGACCTGTTGAACAGAAAGGAAAATTCTCTTAGCTTAGGTCAGGTGTGGGGAACGTCTGGCCCATGGGCCGTACAAAGCCCTCGAAATCATTTGGTCTGGCCCTGCCAAGGCATTAGGGGTGAATTACTTAAATGTTTGACCAAATATAGCAGGCTAATTTTTTATTTTATTTTTTTACGTCTTTATTGTTGAGAGTATTACAGATGTCCCCCTTTTTTCCTCCCCTTTGCCCCCCTCCACCCGGTTCCTGCCCCAGGCCTTCACCACCCTATTGACTGTGTCCATAGGTAAGATCTTTGGTTAATCTCTTCCCACCCCCTCCCCCCCCTTCCCTCTGAGATTCGTCAGTCTGCCCCATGCTTCCATGCCTCTGATTCTATTTGATTCACCAGTTTGGGAGAGAAACATCGACCAGCTGCCTCCCGCACACTCCCCACTGGGGATGTGCCCGCAACCCAGGTACATGCCCTTAACCGGAATCGAACCTGGGACCCTTTAGTCCGCAGGCCAACGCTCTATCCATGAGCCAAACCAGCTAGGGCTAGATTTGATTATTGATAGATAAGTATTTGTTGCCATTTTATTGTTCATATTTATTTCCTTCTCTCCCTCTTCCCTCCTCCCCCTTCTCCTCTTCCTCCTCCTCCTCTCTTCAACATTTCACATAATACTAGTTTAGTGGTGGTGAACTCCTTTAGCTTTTTGGCTCGGCCTCCTGTCACCTGAGCTGGGCACTCTAGGGCAGTGGTCACCCACCAGTGGTCCACGGTTGGTGGACCGTGAGGTCTGAAAGGTTGGCAACCACCGCTCTAGGGTGCCTCTGTGTGCACAGTCTTGTAGTTGAGCCTTGACTGCTGTTGGCGTCTCTGGGAGGAGTTGACCTCCAGGCCAATTGGCTGTGAGGACCAGCTGCAAAGACAGTGGGAGAGCTGCTGTGCAGGAGGCAAGGCCCAGCTGTGAAGCAAGGCAGGCTTGGCTCGTGCTAGTGCTGGTCGCGGGCCTTTTATTGATGGGTTTGGGGCACACTGTCACCAGCTGCAGCTTGTTTGAGAGATTTTTAGCAAAGTCTGAAGCCTGAGCCAGGACAGGACATTCATATGGAAAAGCTGCTGCAAACAGCTTGGGTGGGGCTGCAGATTGGATGGGGCAGGACTCAGGGAATCCCCAGGGCGGAGCAAACAGTGTGCTCCAGGCTGGTTGAGACTCAGATATGGGTGCCAGTCAACCCTGTGACAGGGAGGTCCCAGCACAGGAACAATGACCCCTGTGAGCACCGCATCTGGGTGAGAGCCACCCCTGAGTTCCTGCCCTGATGCCAGACAGTCCATTTCCTCCCTGTATGTGCCTGGGGAGGGGAGGGAGCAGAGGTCAGTAGGAAGGAGGGAGGGGCAGGCAGGAAGGACATGGAATGGCTCCTTTGGTCTCTTAGGCTCGGAACTTGCTGATAAGCACAGGGTTTGCTTCCTTAGGGTCAGGGCCTTTGGCAGCGGTGAGATTTGCACAGGGTTTCTGGGTTCTTTGTGTTATTCTTTCACGTTCTCTAAGTTTGACCTTCTTACCCAGAACTCCTCACAGCAGCTTTCTGTCCGTCGTGGCAGGCACAGGGGCTGCCCCGTTAGCCGGGCCCTTCGGGTCCAGAAAGCCAGGGCCAGATGGCGATCCCTGGCCCAGCTATGGTGTGTACGTGGGACTGTGTGAGGCAGGACACAGGCGAGCCAGAACGAGAGGGAGAGGGAGAGGGAGAGGGTGGATAGGGTCCTGGAAGCCCAACCTGCCCTGGACTTTCCAAGGGAACCGGTTGGGTGGGGGGGGATACCCATGGGTTCCTCAGAATGCATGCCTCAACTTGGGTTCCCATTCTGCGACCCCCATCCTTGGGGATGGCCACACTGCTCAGTGCCAGTTCGTGCTGTTCGGGGCTCTCCTGCCCCAATGCCGGACAATCTAGTTTCTCCCCGTGTGTGTCGGGGTCCCCCAGTGCTGGATCTCAGAAGCGGGACAGTGTGCGGGCTCTTTAAGAGGAACAGTGGGATTCCAGCAGCCTGTGTCACTGGGCCAAAATTGGCCTGGGGGGTGGGCTCTGTGGTGCGACTGGCATCCGTGCCTGGTGGTGCGGCTGGACACAGGCGAGCCAGAACGAGAGGGAGAGGGAGAGGGAGAGGGTGGATAGGGTCCTGGAAGCCCAACCTGCCCTGGACTTTCCAAGGGAACCGGTTGGGTGGGGGGGGATACCCATGGGTTCCTCAGAATGCATGCCTCAACTTGGGTTCCCATTCTGCGACCCCCATCCTTGGGGATGGCCACACTGCTCAGTGCCAGTTCGTGCTGTTCGGGGCTCTCCTGCCCCAATGCCGGACAATCTAGTTTCTCCCCGTGTGTCGGGGTCCCCCAGTGCTGGATCTCAGAAGCGGGACAGTGTGCGGGCTCTTTAAGAGGAACAGTGGGATTCCAGCAGCCTGTGTCACTGGGCCAAAATTC